AACAAAAACTATACCCTCCGATCCAGGGATGGGAGGGTACCACCTATTGGGGGTATGTGGGTAGGACGGAGCAAGTGAAGGGAACCTCGGGGAGGTGCCGTCACTTGTGCCGGACCATGTGAACCAAAATAAATCAGAAAACGATAAATGATAACGATAAAACATATCAAAACAAAACAGAACAGAGAGCCCAAGGAGCAGCGGGCAGTCATGTGGTGTAGTTAAAGCCCATGGGTCAGGGCAACCAGGTAAATCCCAAACTTCCCCCATCCCCCATGGGTCCTCCATCCCCCGGGCAGGGAGGGGCGGGAGACCCAAGGGTCAGCCACCCCTCGCCTCCCCGGCCGAAGGCAACCAAGGCAGGTAAATTACACTAATGCGTGTGCAAACGTATACCAAGGGGACCTGGGGCAAGTATACAGAGTTAAAGGAGCATGAGGGACACAGGAGACCAGGGTCAGGCCCCCAACATTCTCATCAAACTTAATATTCTTAACAGTCACCCCCCCTCCCGCACAAGAGATATCAGACAGCACGACCTGTAATAGAGAGAGGTTAGGTATCAACTAAAAAAGGGGGGCAGTAATAAACCTGGACGGTCATGGCAGTGGGTGAGTTCCGGGGGGGGGGAGCTAAATGGCAACATCGAAGGATACGGTAGGCAGTTCAAGGCTCATGACCCCCCGGGAGCTGTGGTGGTGGTTCCCTTCGCGAAGAACGGTTCCGACTTCTGGCTCGTCGTGGGATGCGTGGAGGGAGGGAGGACATCTCCGCGGGATCATCCGGGAATTCCAGCCAGTTAGGGACGTCCACAGAATCCACATCCAGAAAGCGGAACAGGGCCGGAAGCTGGTCAGGTGAGTGCAGATGAAAGGTAGACTCATCTCGCCGTACGATTAGGTGGAACGGGTGGCCCCAGCGGTAGGTAGCAGATGTGGAGCGGATGAGATCCAACACAGGACGAACCATACGCCGCATACGTAAAGTATGGCGGGAAAGGTCAGGGAGAATGCGGATGGTCGCTCCATCAAAGTCGGAGGGGCCTTGTCGCCAAGCTTGCCTGATGATCTCCTCCTTCACAGCAAAAAAATGCACCCGACATAAGACATCTCTGGGTACAGAAGGCGTAGGAGGGCGCGCACTGTTGACCCTGTGGACCCGGTCAAGTTCCAAGGCTGCGTCAGGGGCCTTACCCAGCAGGGCGTTAAGAATGGCAGCCACAGTGTCTCTCAGATGGATGCCGGACGTGGCCTCTGGGATACCTCGCAGGCGTATGTTATTCCTGCGGTTCCGGTTCTCTGAGTCGTCTAGGCGGAGGTGCATGGACATCAGGCGAGTGGTGGTCATTTGTGCGTCCGCTTCCAGGGCCTCTACGCGAGCCGACAGAGATGTGGTAACGGATTCCACCGAGGTGACACGCTCATCTACTGCCTCAATGCGGTGGGTGAGGTCATGGAGCTCCTTTTTTAGGGCCGCAACGATAGAGGAAGCCATGTTGTCAAGGTCCCTTTTAGTGGGCAGCTGCGGCAGCAGGCCCTGCAGACCGCTCTCCCCCTGTGCATCCAGAGTCAGCACGTGTGTGAACAGAGAGGGGCTGGGCGGGGAGCCCGGGCGCGGTGTGTCCTGTGGCTGGCTTGGGAACCCTGGGCATTCCGGTTCTCGGGACTCATCCTGGTCAGGGGTCAGGGTTGTTGTGCCTCGTCCCTGCTTCCTACCTGACAGGAGGCCGGCCGCCGAGGAGCGGGTAAGTGCCACCTTGGCTGCAGTCGAGGCCGTGGTAATCGGCGGCTGGCGAATGAAAAAGTTGTAGAGGGAGGCAGATCTGGGGTCACCGTGTGTGCTGTGGGTCCTCTGCTCCTTGGGCATGAAGAAATTCAGGGCATAGGGTTCGTTAAGACGTCGGTCCGGTTCAGTGGCTGCAGAGCTCTCCTAATGCGTGTGCTCACGGCGCCATGTCCAAGCCACGCCCCGGTATTGGGTGACTTAAAGCTTGTAGGAATAGATAGGGATCAATAAGTATTTTATTTTGTGTAGTGCATAAAGGGGGCTGATAATATGATTGGATAGTTTAGAGAGTACAGGCCCCATTCACACTTGCGTTTCGGGCAGTCTCACGAATGTGGGGGTGTTTACATTGAATAGGAGGTACACAGTAAGGAGCTAATATGTGTTAAATGGTAGTTGCACAGTAGAGGGTTAATGTACACTGAATGGAAAGTGCATAATAAACTGTCAATGTACAGTAAACCGGAAATTTGCAGTTACTGTGGTTTGCACAGTTAGGGTTGATATACATTGAACAGAAGTAGAGCAGTAAAGTGTTAATGTGCAGTGGCTAGGAAGTGTTTTGTATAAAGTGTGAGATTTAGCTTCCAATGGTAGCGCATTAAGGACACATCCACTCGCTGCAATCTTCATTCAAGGGCTTCCTTGCCCACTTTTATTAAATGAAAGTTCACAAAAACAGAACAATTACCCTCGCAGGGGTTCTTTAGCATCTCATGGCAGCACATGCCCATCCAGCCTCCTGGCTTTGCATTTGCAGCACTGCTGCTCCGGCCTCAGCCCACTGTCTGTTCCTCCAGACAGCCTCAGTCATGTGCTAACTTGCACACTGGGAGATTCTTCCCAATCCGCAGCACCCTGCTGCACTGGACTCCACTCTGACTCCTGGGTGGGGCCTTCCTGTCTCCCAGGTGGAGTCTTGAACCCTTCCCAACAACTTTAATTTAAAGGCTGTGCACACCTGTGCCATCAGCATGTGCTGGCCACTCAGATTCTGGACACAGGAATGGAGATAACGCAGTGGCATTGCCATGCTCTGCCACAAAAGGTTAAAGCTAAAGTGCACAGTAAAAGGTTAATTTACAGTGGTTAGAAGGCAGATAGAATTGTGTCAACTGTAGTGTCGGATCCCACCACTGTCATCAGAATGTGACTTCATTATAGCTAAGTATTTGATCTATATTTCCAGATAGCACAGTTTTACAATCTGACAACTAATGTATGATTGTGTAGAATTAAATCACAGTTTGGTAAAGACTAGGGTTGCACCGATGCTTTTCGAGTACAAATGCCGATACTTGGCATTTTCACGAGAACTACCAGGGTTGCAGCGGTTGCAGCTGGGACCTGGCTCTGATGCTCCACCACTGTCCTGAAATCATTAGTCGATATTGTTTTAGAAAAACTGTCACATGACGATAAACAAAATGTATCAGTACTCGTTAGTAGTTCTCTCTCTCTCTTTCTCGCTCTCGCTCTTTCTTGCTCGCTCGCTCTCATCTTCTTTTCTCTCCACCCCAGATTTTATAAAACTTTGCCTCTTATGTTGCCTTGTATAGTGGCAAAGCATTATTGACCACTGTATTCTAAAAAGAAAGTGTGGGTGGTTCCTATTTTTCCTGATCTCAAGACAACGGCTTAACATGCATATAAGAGCTGTAATCTCAGTTTGAATTACTCTGGCAGGGGCCAGTGACTCAACTAAGCCCAACAGGCCCAAAAAAGTGCCGTAGCCCAGGGGGTCAAGTATGCCTGATGTTCTATTTCAAATTAAATCAAGTGGCCAACACCAATTGTTGAAAAGCAAGTGTCCACATATCGTCTAAGCCAGTGGTCCTATGAGGCATTGCAAGACTGACAGTTATAGGCATGAGTCCCAAAGGCATGTTGGGATTTGTAGTTAAAACACAGCTGGCCTGTGTTTATATTTTCCTTCTCATATACATGCAGACCAAGCAGTTCTGCAAATTGACAGTTACATTGGCAGTTACATTGGGAGTTGGAAGAAACTATAATACTGCTGGGTGTACTTAACTGTCGCTATTTCTTTGGATAAACCTTTTTTTCCAAAATGAAGAATGTTGTTTTGACTGCTTAAAGTCCTGCTTGGGGCATTTCTTTTCAGGATACTCTCCAAGCAGGGCTTTAAATAAAAAAAAAAAAAGCAGCTCTTGCTGCAAAATGCACCTCCTCTCTAGCATTGTCTCCCGCGGTAACTTCTTACACCATTCAATGTTCAGTCCATTTAAAACTACATGTCCATCTGAAGCTAACCTGTCCATAGTTTGACAATGCTGAGAAGATTTCACCGCAGAAAGTGAATCACATTGTCAACCTGTAGGAAGTGGAAAATCAGGGGATCTACTGGGAGGACCAAGGCGGGACTTGGGGACAGGGTAGATTCATAAAACCAAAATCCCTTGTTTTAATGCTATTGACAGACTGCAGAATATCGCTCCTTTTTGTTTTTGCTCATAGTTCTTCTTTAAGGGATACACCCAGGAACTAAATTCAATCTGCTTTTACTTTTGTAAGAGCTGGCAGCACCCTCTGGCAACCTTTAGACTTCTGGCTCACAAATCTTGTGACACTCCTAAACATCTGCCAAAGTAGCTGAAATAAAACTGAAAATGGACTGGGTAAATCATATGAGCAAATCTGTCTCTACAGAAACTATAAAAAAGTTTTATATATTTTTGTAAGTAGTTGTCTATGATACCTAAATACTCTATTATTCTTCTGAATGCCATGATGTATTTATTTATTTTCACAAAAAAGTTTATTGAACATAAAACAAAGAAAAATCAACAGTGCAGATAGAACAAGACACGTCAGATGAAATATACAAGGTATTAAGAATGTCAAAGTAGCAAACCGGCAAAGTAACCAAACCTATCAACAGGTAACAGCCTGTAATACCAGCAGGGCTATCGCGAGAAAGACAATGAAGGTGTCACATCATTAAATAAAGTCATCACAATCTATCACACCTGGGTATTATTATTATACAGGATTTATATAGCACCAACAGTTTACACAGCGCTTTATACTATAAGAAAGCCATTAGAATCACAATACAATTCAAGACAAGATGGTAAGGAGGACCCTGCCCACTTTTTATAAATGAGAATGGAGGAAATCCCTAGGTAAAGAAAATATAAAAACCAACAGGATAGAGAAAGGAAAGGAAAAGAGACAGCAGAATAAAGAACAACTAAAAGGAGGGAGAGGATAAAAAAGGAAGGAAAAAAAAGAAGAGTAACTGAGGGAAGCCTGTATAACGGAGAAGCTAGGTTGGGCTAAAGCATCAAGAAAACATGGTCTAAACGAGGAGGTTGGAAATGGGATATCCGAAGGTTGCCAAATTTTGTGGAAGCGTACATGGGTATCATTAAGAATGGCTGCCAATTTTTTATTAACCATCATTCCACTTTAGTTGTTGCTTGACCGCCTCAAAACTCAACATAGGGGATTTCCACGATTTAGCTTATTAAGAAGAGCTTCACACAGGTGCCTAGCAAGATCAACGGAGATCAGATAAGTCCTAATCCACAAGCGTCTGGCCACCGGGCATGACAACCATATATGATACATGTAGTCCCTCTCTGGGCAACCCGGAAGCAATGAGGTGAGTAACCTGGGATAGTATGCGTATAATACCAATGGTAGAGAAACTTATATAGATTCTCCAAAATGAGGACGTTCCCTGAACCCTGACCGTGGCCAACCAAACAGCCTGCAGTCCTCAGAAGAAAGGGAAACACCCACATCAGTCTCCCATTGAGATTGATATGATCGTACAGGAGGCAAGGTCTTGGAAATCAAGTATAATAGTAGAAACAAGGAAAATTATCCCAGGACTATGGGGGACTGACCAACATCTTTGTTCAAAAGGGGTCAAGGAGTAAGGAGGTGGTTGTGGGCGTATTAGGGATGATAAAAAGTGATGCAATTGCAAGTAGTGATAATGCTTGCGTAAGGGGACAGAGTTGGAATCTTGAAGTGATTGAAAAGACTTATCACCCGTGGGGGTAAGGAGAAAGTAGACATCATAAAAGTCATGTTCCCTCCACCAGTGAATACTTTGATGAGAGTCCCAACCAGGAAGAAAGAGAGGGCAGGGAAAGAGCTGCAGCAGAGGAAGAAAGGGAGAAGAAAGAGAACCAGAACATTTCACAGAATCCCAGATTTGAAGAGTGTGCGACATATCGGGACCAAACGACTTAGGACGAATGGAAGAGGGAACCCGTGGTAAGGAGCAGATTGGAAGAGGAGAACAACCCACAAAATCCAATAAAGCCCAACTCGGAATCTCAGCCAAGTCACATAGACGGGCCAAAGGTGCGATGTTCACTGCCAAATATTATTTGTGGATGTTCGGGACTCCCAACCCACCAACCGCTTTAGGTGCAAAAAGAATATTCTTGCTAACACAGCGCCTGGACCTACCCCAAATAAAATAAAGACGTTTTGCTGGTGGATGCGCAAAATATGAGCAGGGACAAGTACTGGGAGCGTGTGAAACAAATATAATAATTTCGGGAGATAGGGCATTTTGACAGCGTGAATGACCAAACCAAGAAATAGGGTAATGGCGTCAGGATTCAAGTAAGGAAGATGAATGGGAAAAGAGAGAAATTATGTTTCTATTTTTGAAGTGATCAAAGTTTGATGTCAATTAAATGATTAGTAGGGATGAGTTCAGAATTGGGCCAAAACAAGTCCCAACCTGAGTTCTTCTTAACCTGGAAGCTGCAACGGGCCACCTGCCCAAACAACTGCAGGTCGGCATGCAGCAGCTGCACAAAAACAAAGGGGCGGGGTTCTTGTGCTGGCATAATTTGCCTTATATAGCCATTTGGCCATATAAGGTCAATTATGTCACTGTTATTGCTGGGATTTGTAGTCCTCTGTATAATATACAGCACAATGTACCATCAGCTATAGAGAGTGGAGCTGTGAACAGGGCCAACTGATCAGAAGCCGATTAATCGATTTATTGAAAAAGTTGACAACTTTTTCAATAATCGATTATGTCGATTAGTTGTTGCAGCCCTACATCATAACCCCCTTGCTTACATAAGGACCAGGTTCTCTTCAAACCTGAGCTCATTCCTAATCATTTGTATACATTGACTGTCATGGAAGCCCCCAGTACATGTATTCATATTTATAGTAGACTAGTGTAAACCACTCCTGATTTGTCAATTTCTTTTCTTTTGTTCCTATTCCTTTATTACAGTGATAGGAAATCACCTTTCCTTCCAGTCAGTTTAAGTAGTAGCTTTTAAAAATCTGTACAAAAATCAAGTATTTTCAAACTTCTAAAACTGAGGAAGTTCTTCATAAGGCTATGTAATGGGGTCCCAATTTTTTATATTGTGTTTCCATAGGTAAACGGGCAGAATGATTGCCAGAGTGATAACTTTTTATGAGTGGAGAAAAAAAATATTATGGTTCAAATTTTTCAGAGCACTAACAGGGTGTTCTCAAAAGGGTGAAGAGTTAGGAGAAGGCAGGAGACGTGAACAATTTAGGCCAAAGTAACTAATTTGGAAAAATTCTCCAACTTGGCTCACTTTCCTGTTCAACTATGTTGTCCTAGATTGTTCACTTCTCCTATCTTGTCCAAACTCTTGTCCAAACTCTTCACCCTTTTGTGAATAACCTGTAAGACTTCTTTGTTGGGCATTATGGGTTTATCCATTTATGTTTAAAGGGTTTTTTAAAGGGTATCAGTTGCACAGATATGCATATCTTGTTCTAGCTAACACAGAATGATATTCCTTGCAACTGCATTTCAGATTTAGTTGTCTCTCATATTGTCCTTTGCCATTCATAGCTGCTTGCTTTACAAATTATAATGCTCAACTAAAGCTGAATGAAAGACAATAGGACACTGCACTCAGCTTACGTTGAGTGTTTTCAGGTGTATTTCTGGTAATGTTCAATTAGTAATGCTGGCTGAACTCTATTTCCTGAGATTAGAATAGGATTTGCCGAGTATGCTTTTTGTGGGACAATCAAGTGTACGGTCTTCAAATGACTGGCAAGGAACATGCAAAAGCAATGAACAGAGGGATTAGTTCATTAGTCTACTGCTGCTCTTTCACTGTCCATTTAGCAGGCTGTGGCTGGTGTCCTGGCTTAGCTGTGTGATGGGTCTGTAGCAATCACAAGGCTGGATGGACATAAATAAAAATCAGCTGGCAGATAAAACAGCTCCCTTGTATATATTTTATCTGTGTTTTCAGATGCTTATTTGGAGTATGGCTATATTTTTATGGGACATCTTAGAATTTTAAAAGAGAACTAAAGCTAAACCTTTTTTTCTGCTTTAGGGCAGGTTTACACTATTTTCCGGACCAGATCTGGAATGCAGTGCATTGCGTTTTGCCGCGTTTGGAATGTATTTTTTTTTTTTTTAGCATCAAAACCCACTGCATTCCAGTGGGTTTTGATGCGTTTCTATGGGTCCCAGTGCATTCCAGAGCAGACACAATAAGAGGAGCAGTATTTTTCTGGTCTGGTCTAGAACGGACTGCGCTGGTGTGATAGAGGCCAGAAATAGCATAGGGATACATTAGGATGCATTTTGGGTCTGTAAACAATCTGGTCTGGTCTGAAGATGATCCGGACATGGTGTGAATGGGCCCTTAGACCTCTTTTGAGTCAAAGGAATACATTTACTAATGTACTCCTCTGACCCAAAGTCAGCATCTAGCAGGCTACTGCAGCAGCTTCATTGCTTCAGTTCGCTTCGGCTGCACTGTGCTAAGCAAAATGGCGGAGGATAATATTTTTGACTAATAACATTTTCCAACAAATATTTGGTGTGCTCGTCCACCAAAACATTAAATTGTAGGTTCCTACACTGAATTGTGATTTCCTCCATCGGGTTTCAGGCACCTTTTTCTAGTGCTGCCAGGTGTGCCCACAGTTAAAATGGCCGCTGGTGCTCTGTCCCCACCTCTTCGTCACACTCTGCATCCACATTCACTTCCGCTGCAAGTGCTAAGTTTGCAGTGCTGAGCGCAGACTTGCAGCACAGCGTTAGGCAGTGTTTTGCTAACTCAGCACTCGCAGCGGCTCAGCAACTGAACATGCCTCAGCAGTTAGGGGTGGGTTTGTAATCAGGCTGTACTGTTTCACTGCAGTGGGGTTGAACTCAAGTCTGGCTGTCTGACAGGGATGTGTCAGTCACAAGGGTAGCTGAACAAAATTATAAAAAGATTGGCAAATGAAATAGTTCTCATTTGCCTGGAGTTCACCTTTAAATTTAATTCCACCATACATTGTCTTACATGTCAGATGGTGCATTGGTATAATATTGATATGGAAATTAATATTTTAATTTGGAACATAAATATGTTACCATTTTATTTACCACAGGCATAAATTATGATGCAGAGAAGGAAGAGAGAAATCTACAAGAGGCAAAACAACGAGAGCTACAAAGGATCGAAGAGGCTCTGCAGAAAGCTGCAGAAAAAGGTAGACTTACTATTGCTCTTATGCAGATGACTCATTGTCTAAATGCCAGAATACCATCTTGGACCTCAAGAATAAATGGCACTCTTGTTCAATATTTATTTTTTGTTCTTTAATGCTGGCCACCAGATGAGGAGTTTCTTGGAGACTGCTACAACTTACAAAGCTTTGTGTATAGTAATACAAAGCCTGGTGCGTATAGCTTGCTCTGTGGGAATATGCATAGATAAATGCATTGCCATGTCACCTTTAACTCATTTGGTATGAAAGCAGCTTTTTCTTGAATTCTTTCATTATCGCTTTCTCTTCTATCTCTTTGTCTCTGTCTGTCGCTCACTCACAATAGTATGGCAGCTGATATGTAGGCTCTGACAGCCTGAAAAATGTCTTTGCTCACCCTATCCATGTTTTTTTGTACTGCTTTACACGGCTGAGCAGAACAGAAATAGCCTCACACAGGACCTAAGATTTACAGAGACATGGCATATACAGTGGTGTATTTTAGTTTTGTGCTGCCCTAGGCAAGACTAAACTCAGCACCTCCCTCATTCTAACAAATACATTGCAATCCCCAGCCTGTTTCTGGGACATCCACTATCAGATCACATGCTATGGCCAGCCCCAAAGCCACCCGCTGCTTCTCCTCCACCTCCTGTACAAAGCCAGCCGGACTGCAACTCACTGGGCCCTCCCCTCCACCAGGCAGCTCTCTAATTAGGCAACCGCTCTCAGGGCCTTGCGGCCACCTAGTTTGCCTCATTGGGCAGCCACAGCTGCATGATTCTGTGCCACCCAGCCTCGGCCCACTGGGGAAGTGCCCAGTATGCCCAAAGACAAGTCTGGCCCCCTCATTTATTTATTTTTTGTTCTTTAATGCTGGCCACCAGATGAGGAGTTTCTTGGAGACTGCTACAACTTACAAAGCTTTGTGTATAGTAATACAAAGCCTGGTGCGTATAGCTTGCTCTGTGGGAATATGCATAGATAAATGCATTGCCATGTCACCTTTAACTCATTTGGTATGAAAGCAGCTTTTTCTTGAATTCTTTCATTATCGCTTTCTCTTCTATCTCTTTGTCTCTGTCTGTCGCTCACTCACAATAGTATGGCAGCTGATATGTAGGCTCTGACAGCCTGAAAAATGTCTTTGCTCACCCTATCCATGTTTTTTTGTACTGCTTTACACGGCTGAGCAGAACAGAAATAGCCTCACACAGGACCTAAGATTTACAGAGACATGGCATATACAGTGGTGTATTTTAGTTTTGTGCTGCCCTAGGCAAGACTAAACTCAGCACCTCCCTCATTCTAACAAATACATTGCAATCCCCAGCCTGTTTCTGGGACATCCACTATCAGATCACATGCTATGGCCAGCCCCAAAGCCACCCGCTGCTTCTCCTCCACCTCCTGTACAAAGCCAGCCGGACTGCAACTCACTGGGCCCTCCCCTCCACCAGGCAGCTCTCTAATTAGGCAACCGCTCTCAGGGCCTTGCGGCCACCTAGTTTGCCTCATTGGGCAGCCACAGCTGCATGATTCTGTGCCACCCAGCCTCGGCCCACTGGGGAAGTGCCCAGTATGCCCAAAGACAAGTCTGGCCCCCTCATTGGTTTGGGGCTGTGTTTTCTGCTGCCCCCCTGGAAAGTGCCGCCCTAGGCAAGTGCCTAGTTTGCCTTGCGGTAGATACACCCCTGGGCATATATATGTCAGTCTTCTAATACTTATGAATCCCCATTATGTATCATTACACCCTACCAATTTTGCATATTGCTTTTTTTAAAGATAAGATGTTGTGAATGATTTTGGTGTTGCATTGATGTTATGAAATGGTTATTACAGTTTAGCCTATTACACATAATGTTATCACAATTTGCCCTTTCTCTTCTACCTTTGAAATGATCAAAAAGTATGGCAGCATACAGAGCTGGAGCAAATCTTCAGATAGTTTTAAACTATCCTTTTAAAAAAAAAAGTTATTTTAGTATTTCTTTGGATGCTGAGCAACTTTGCCAATATAGTATCTTACCTTTTTTTGTCTTGTACTTTAAAACCTGCAATTACATGTGTTATGACTGCATTATTTACATCTTGCTTGTCTCCAGTCTGCAATGTAACTGCAGAATAGGGCTGAAAACAACAGGAGGACATTTGTTAAACATTCCTTTTTGATGTCTTCCATGCTGGGAGCCGTTAATGATGTTTTCTATACATCTCTAAATTAATGTATTCCCTGGAGAAACAGACTCTGAATTACTGAAATAAATGAGCCCCTGCATACGTTTAAGCCAAGCCTTTTCCACCCACTCCTCTCCCATGTGATTCCACCGAGCCAATTGTGAAAAGCAGAATGCACATCTAGAGAAATATATATGGATGCTTTCTAGTACTGGTCTAGAGACATGATATTACACTACAGTTTTGGTTTCTGCAGAACTGCATGCTTCCAGCAGTTTGCAAACTTTTTTTTTTACCATGAAGCAGCAAAAGCAGTGATAGGCTGTAGAGACAGAAGATCCCAAGTGAGTATGAAGCATAGCAAGCAAAGTATGCAAAGACAGACAAAAGGTAAAGGGGAAGAAGATGCCTAGTCACAGGTTGCATGACCATACATAGTCAACACAACACAGAGGTGGTGCTTAAAAAGAAAATAGTGAGGGTTTAGAATTTAGTTTTTGTATACATGTGGACACTCTTGAATATTGGCAGATATACAGAGTGGAGGAGGGCTACTATTTTAGACTGTCTTATATATGATTTCAGAACCAATTACTACCTCTGTGCTTATTTATATCATCTTTGGAGAGTGGAGTTTGTCTGCTGATGGGAAGAAAGGGGTGAGGACATATATGAGACACCCTACAGGCTAAAGGGAAATGCCAGGTCTCCTACTTCCACCTAATGGGTGTCCACAGCTACAGATATCTGCTGATCAAAGGTTGATATATGCACTGACCAGATGCTAGTTTAAATAAGTTTCTGTGTATCTCATGATGAAGCAGGTTAGACGATATCTTGTAAAACACATTGAGTGATCTTCATCTTACTTTTAACACCAGAGTAAAAAAACACTATTTGGAAGTTCGATAAGACGTGGCAACCTTGGAAATATTTTTATTCCCATACTCCCCTACGCTCATGTACGAGCCTCCTCCTGTCCCTCAATTTCACAGGGAGTGTTTGTCCCGACAGGAGACACGGTTCTTTCCTTTCTCCTTCCTTCCCTCTTACTTTTCTTTTCTACATCTCTCATTTTCTCTCCTCTTATTTTTCCTCTTGTTTTCCCAGATATTGGTTTTGGTTTCTGAGTCGCACTGCATATACAATCTGTAGAGATTTTTTTAACTCATTGTGGTCTGGATATGTTTGTTTTTTTCCCCTTTTTGATGGTGCTTTGTTACCATTGATCACATTTATGTATCTGTGACCTTGTTGGATCTATTTCTTTGTTGTGAGCTATAACGTTGTTCTTATTGGTTGTTACATTTTTTTTGTTGTATTCATTTCAAAAAAGGAAGTTAAAAAAGAGAAAATGAAGTTACCTTGTGAGGGAGTTAGATGGAGGACGAATACAGGGGCAATGTTTAGGAATCAGGAAATAAAACACTTTCGACTGAAGATGACGAGGAAGATGTTTGCAAGAAGCCACATATCTCCAGGATGTGATTCTCCCTAAAAGCAGATAGGATTAGTTTGGGTCAAAACATAGTTGCATAGTATTTGAGGTTCAATAAAGACACGGGTCCATCAAGTTCAACCGTTTGTGTGTCTGTGTGTATAAGTCCATATGTGGTCTAGTTTTTAAGGGTACCTATACCCCTGTATGTTATGTTCTCTGAGGAAGGTATCTAAATGATTTTTGATTTATTCAATACTCTCTGCTGATACCACTGCTTGTGGAAGAGCGTTCCAAAATGTAACCGCTCTAACTGAAAAGAAGCCCCTACACCCTTTGTGGTTAAATCTTTTCTCCACCAATTTTAGGTGGTGGCCTCTGGTCTTCTTAATGGAGTTTACACTAAAAAGTTTATTGCTGATGTTGCCATCACCACTAAACATTTTGTACATCAAAATCATGTCCTCCCCCATAATCGCCTCACTTCCAGCGTGAACAAGTTTAAACTTGGCAACCTTGTCTCATAGCTTTGGTCCTCCAGCCCCTTAATTAGTTTTGTTACCCTTCTCTGGACTCTCTCCAGCTCAATCCTTTGACATCCTTTCTGTGGATTGGTGACCAAAATTGAACCGCATACTCAAGATGAGGCTGAACCATTGATCTATAAAGTGGCAAAATTATTGCTTTGTCTCTACCGTACATTCCCTATTAAATGCATGACAGTACTTTGCTAGCTTTGTTTGCGGCAGCCTGGCATTGCGTGCTATTATTCAATCTGTAGTCGACTATGACTCTCAAATCTTTTTCAATTTCTGACTTCCCTAGTGGAGTTCTAATTAATGTGTATTCCGCTTGGCTATTTTTAATCCCAAAATGCATTACTTTACATTTTCCAACATTAAACCTCATCTGCCATGTAGTTGCCCACTCCGCTAATTTATCCAGGTCGTCCTGTAATGTTATAATGTCTAAGCTCGTGTCTATTACCCTCCCAGTTTTAGTATCATCTGCAAACACAGAAACATGGCTATTATGACCGTCCCCAATATCATTAATTAGCAGGTTAAACAGTATTGGGCCTAGCACAAAACCCTGGGGCACACCTCTATCGACCTTAGGCCAATTTGAAAAATAACCATTTATCAATACTCTCTGGACACGTTCCAGTAGCCAGTTCTCTAGCCATGTACTCACCTTTTCATCTATGCCCAGAGATTGCAGCTTGTGTATTAAGCATTTATGTGATACTGTGACAAATGCTTTGGCAAAATCCAGGGACACCACATCCACCGACTTTTTTTCTCCATCCAGATCTCTACTCACCTCTTCGTAGAATGTTAGTAGGTTGGTCTGACAAAAACAGTCCTTCATAAATCCATGATTATTATCATTTATTATACCATTGCCACAAACAAAATCCACTAAATAGTCCTTTATCATTCCCTCAAACAAACATCATATGCTATTGATGTTAGACTGAATGGTCTGTAGTTCCCAGGTTGGCATCTTGAACCTTTTTTGAAAATTGAACATGTGAACATTAAAAGAGAACTATGAGGTAACCTTTTTATCCCAT